GCTTGCTTTACAACTTGGTACATTAATCTCAAATTTGATTTTTTTGGCACCATAAGGGCCCTCTTGTCAATTAGAGCACTCATTCTCAGTTATCTAGAAAAAAGAAGTCTTTCTTCAGTAAATCGATACTCATTGATGTCCGAACTCATGATTTAGTGCCAGTAGATTCACTATTTAAAGGTATTTCTTCATTGAGCCCGCATTCAGTTGATGCACTCAGGTAAACAATGATATTAGCCAATTGGCCATTAGTTAATTCTACATACTATATAGATCAGATCTGAATCAGAAAGATGAAATTATAAAGGAAACAATGGCAAAAGTTTTGGAATTAACTAGTATGACAAATGCACAAAAGGCAGGTAAAAGTTTTGATTATGTGGAAAAGAGGCAACAAAGAAGAAAAATATTGGCAATAAAAGAAGCAACCAAAAAGCATTACTCTTTTTCGACATCTTTAAATTAGATGGAGTCCATTATATTGAAGTCTCAAATGTCCAAAGAAACCATGACCATTCCCCTATCATCATCATCACACACACAAAGAGCAGCATTAATACTTCGTCCCATTTATTTGAAAATACAATCGATAAAGTGCTATTTCTCCTAGATAGTTATGGCATATCAGATGAGTTCTACCACAAACTGTTTATGATACATACCTCTTTTCCACAATCGTACCTCGCAGAACAAAGACAAAACAATGTCTTGACCAATATGCCAAGTCATCGTCTACCAAAACCATACTTTGGCTGCTACAGATCATTAAAAGAATCAATAATAGAGGCATTGTCTTTTATGATAAAAATTCTTATTAATAACTATTTGTATAAGGCTTTATAAATATTTACAATGTACATGTACAAGACAATTTGGTCCCCAGTACTTGTTAAACTTGGTGGAGATGGTGCCACATTCCATCGTACATCAACCTATATTTTCCTTACATTTTCATTTCCAGAGTTGGACGCGAAATGTTTATCCACTGCAGGTAAAATAGTAAAATAATTCATTGTTAAGTAATTCATCATTATTAGGAAATTGAACCTTTGCAATTGTTTCTGGACATAAAAATTATGATTGCATGAAGCATGGCCAATCTACAGTACTGAATGAAATTAATAGTTTGATAGAGACAAATGCTGTCAATGGCAAAGTAGTCAATTTAAAGTTTCTTCTTGGTACCGATTATAAGGTAATAAGAAAAATACATTCACAAAAATTAAGCTAAAATTTTAAAATAGTTCTTACTCATCCTGAGGAGCTTTAATGCTGCTAATTCAAATTACGCCTGTCTTTACTGTTCTATAAGAAAAGATGTGAGGTAAGATACTTCCTATGAACTTAAAGTAATTTACATGCATGTTTGAAAGACATAACACACAACTGCAATCAGAAGAAAGAACACTAAACTCTGTTCTATTGTGTGCTATGAGCAAGACATCAGGAGTAGTGCATTGTCCTCTCATTAATGTTAATATTGACAAGGTAAAACATTACAAATTTTATGACAATTATTATAATGTACTGAATTTAAAGATTATAATTGATGAATTACGTCTCTTCCTGCAAATATCCGATGTCCTTATCAGGCATCTTATCCATGCTACAGTTTTGGCAGATTTCAAACTTTTCAAGGATTCAACAACACATAAGAATAACCTATTGATGAAGACAAGAAATTGTGACATAACATTTAGGGTACATATCATAATGTTAATATCCAACAACTCACAGTAAACAACAGGTTTGGAAATCAAAGGATAGAAACAGTGAGCTTCAATAGACATCACTTCGACGTAATGACCAGTAAAAGTTAGTATCACAACTGCCTCCATCAATTCCAGATATAATCACTGACACTAATGGCCATAAAATAAAAAACTATGGATGGTAATGAATAACAATAATGACATTGTAAGATTATACCAATGCACTATAACTCAATGATTAGGAGTTTAATGACCTTTATGGCTTTATTGTTGCAATGACCCAGACAAATGGAAAACTGTAGAGGACAAGGTACACTGTTTACTTTACTATTTAAATCAGCTGGTTTAACAATAGGGACTAAAATAGGTTGATGATTTTACTAGTATGAAGCTGGATTGTCATTTAAAGAAAAATGTAACACCATATATGCCCATAATGGCACATGTTCAAAAACAACTAACCTTGTACAATAGAATAAGAAGTTTTCTGGTCAAGGTATTATACTTTATTAATTACTGACATACATTGCGATGGTACTAGGAGTAGAAAAGACCAATGACCTAGCTCAAAAACACTACCAGTCTAGTACTCACCAAGATGCTCCCAACGATATTATTGAAACCGAAGGAAGAATAGCAACTTTCAAATATAAAAAAAGAAAATTTAATAAAATCAATATGAATTACTGGATAAATGAAATGTTATGAAGAGAAGAAAGCAGACTGTAGGGAACGATGAAGAGGATTCAGCAAAAGATGAGTATGCATGTGTGCTCTAGCTCCTAGCTCCACCCATGCAATTGAGCTTCACCTATAATTGAAGACATTATTATAAGTGAATTATTGATGACAATAAGACTTTATCAGTTTCAAAGAGTCTCTGTAAAACTACAATTTAGTTTCCTATCGTCAAAGTCAAAGCTCTGATGACAGACTTTAATATGGCTGTACATATGTCTGGGAAAAGTCACAAAACAGCCATCACCATCCTTATTGTAGCAAGAGAAGTGCAGTTCATTGAAAAACTCCAAAGGAAAGTCTCCTCTTTCATACAGCTTCCCAGGTTTACCCTTAACAAAGGTTCCTTTGTCTTGGAAAAGGTACTTGAACACATTCCTTGGAAATTCAAGAGTCACAGCTTGCTTAGCAAGAAGACCAGCTCTTAAACTACTGTGAATAGCAACAGAGAAAGCACTAACTGCATCTAGTATTTTCTTTGCTGGTTGAGGTTGATGAAATAACCTAAACATAAATCTCATGACTCACGATCAGATTAAATGCATGCAAGGACTCGCATCAGTAATGTCCCAGTATTGAACTAGTCTCGCCGCCCAGACCATTCCCCAGCCTAGTCTCGTGAGCCAGACCATTCCCCAGCCTACAGTAATTGGGGTGGATGGCAGGGAAGGGTCTGTTTCACACAGTGATAGTAGTTGGTTCCGCGCGCAGAAATTCCTGCGCACCAATCAGATTCAGTCATCCTTCACACGTGACCACAAGTCACATGAATTTTGATTATAAAATATGGCATCTTTTCCTAGGACTGAGGAGAAAGTGGTTGAAAAAGAAGCTACAGTGGTAGCACAAAGCGTGTCTTTGATTCTGAGGAAGCATTTTAGTGAAATGTAACTAGGTACCACAGGAAAAAATTTAAATTTCCCAATAATGTGTTGTGCAGTATTCCCATTATTTTAATTTCCCGGTATTGGGAATATTAGACATTATGTTGCTATAATGCTGGCAATTGTAAGCTTCCCATTATTAAAGCCAGTATTGGGAAACATTTCCCATTCAAATCAATATTCCAACATTGGTTCTTACATTCCCATGATGGAATGCACAACTACAAACTAGCATTGAGAAATACCATTCCCATTATGAGAGTATTCCAACATTAGTTTTTACATTCCCATGATGTGATGCACAACTACAAACCAGCATTGAGACATACCATTCCCATTATGAGAGTATTCCAACATTGGTTTTTACATTCCCATGATGGAATGCACAACTACAAACCAGCATTGAGAAATACCATTCCCATTATGAGAGTATTCCAACATTGGTTTTTACATTCCCATGATGGATGCACAACTACAAACCAGCATTGAGAAATACCATTCCCATTATGAGAGTATTCCAACATTGGTTTTTACATTCCCATGATGGGATGCACAACTACAAACCAACATTGAGAAACATCATTATGAGAGTAATGCCCTGTTATGGAATACCAGCTTTTGTACTAGTACTTTTTGTTGAAGTATATTGGAATATTCACTGTACTTGTGTATTTAGTTAATTGTACCTGTAACCACATTGTTTACATTATTGTTTATACATGCACAGTGTATTCTAGTGTTAATTCTGTACTCTTCTAGATTGCTCGATTCTTCTCTCTTCTTACACTAAGCTTTATGTCTCTAGAACATTCTATAGCTAGACTATAAATTGAACTTTTAGTCTGTCTCTTTAAGGTTTTTTAATTCTCTCTCTCTCTCTCTCTCTCTCTCTTGTTTATTCATTTATTGGTTCTGATTAAAGATAGACTATTTAGTAAGCTGTTAAGTCATCAACTGTATCTACATAAACTCATCACTTTTAACATTTCACAGAATGCACCTTTAAAAACTAAAAATAATTACAATGTCTTTAAGACTAGTTAATAAAACATTATGTATAAATAAAAGTGTTGCCACTCCATGACCCACATGCTTGACCAAGAACTGAGTCCCAAGATATAGTTTCAGCTCCTCTACGACCAGCTTGCTCTCTACAATATTTAGAAGGACAATTCTGTTGTGGAACAAAGAAGTGCACTCAACATGTTTTGTTCCTGATGTCCACTGACTGAACTTGAGCAAGCCATATATCTCCATCCTCTCCATAAACTTCAACCATATCATTGCTTTCTGGATAGAAGGGTATAATGACATCTTTAGAAGTTAAAGGAATTTTGTCTCTTTCAAAATCAATTATGACAAACTGAGTAGGTGACTTCAAATTTTCTGGATCAGGAAAGAGCATTACTTTACGAAGTATGCTTGATGTTGGAACTACAACTTTTGATGAAGATGGTGAACAAATGGATTGTTACTATATAAGTGTAATAAGTTGCTTCGTGTAACACAAAAGAGTTCCCCTTCAACAAATGATTGATAGTGATTGTTGAGATACAGTGAAAAGAAGTCTGTTGCACATATCACTTCATTACTTGAGAGAAGAATATGCTCACCTGTTAGTGATTTATGATAAAATTGTATGCATGCATTACATTACTTACCTGTTTTATACAAAACTCAGTCGAATCCATGATGTAGTAATAATACACTTCAACATGACACACCAACTGTCTCAGAAGGTTGCATTAAGGAAGGTACAAGTGATTGTATCATGTTAGACGGTACTGTAATTGTCTTTTTTCCTCCAACAAGGATAGCACGATTATCATAACAATTACTAAAGCAGAGTCGTGCTTTTGTGATGGAACTTGCATGAAGAAGCTATTATCAATACAAAGTAAATTTTAAAAAATAATATAATGCATACTTGGTCTTGAAAACATGGCGTAGATGAATTAGATTTGCTGAATAAGAACTTTAGTAACTCTCTTCGACTTTCTGCCTTAGCAAATGTAAGTTCTAAATGCTTATTGTTCGATGAACGCTCAACGTAAGTGTGAACAGCTCTTTCGAAAACGAAACACCAGTAATTGTCTGGACTTGAGAAACGCTTTATATCATCTGGCAGATGGACCAAATTGTGAAGAGTTGTGACACAGCTTTCTAGACCTTCTGCTACTTCAGTCAGAATGTTGTGCCTCCAGATGAGATTATGCAGCAATTCAAGTGAATGTTGTGTCCATCCATTTCTTCCACAGCCAAAAACTAATTCAGTTATCCTTACAATTAGAATGCAAACATCATAGTGACAATCTGGTAACTTTGCACCGAGCACATATTCTGAAGCAGGATAAGCGGTATTCCTCAGCCTTCCGAAATCCAATTTGTCTTGTGATACTCTGAGGAATTCTTCCATCTTTCAATTCTGTATTGTACATTATATATTGTGTCACTATACAACTATATAATAATTATACTAACCTGCAGTCAAAGGAATTGCATCTAGCCTTTCTTCAATAGAACCATCTAGGAATTTATGATTTAAATAGAAATCTAAATGCCTTTTAATAACTCCCAATAAAATGGTATGCATGGCATCAAACACAAAGTCCTTTAGTACGTCAAACTTTGAGATGTGATAAAGTCGATGTAAAATGGACAAACCTGTAAAACCAGTTTCACTGGCTTTTTTGCGGTGCACTGTGATACGATCTTCTTGAGAGACTGATACCATGTCATCAACAGATTCAGAAAGCATCCGTTGAGACCATTGATAGCGATAGTGATATTGATAATTGCCATAATAATATTGATTTGATCTTGAACTACTTGATAAAGTCCCTAAAAATTACAGCACAAATGAAATTTATGCACAAGATTATATACCAGAAACTTTGTCTCTTCTGCATGCATGAACACCACCAGCAGCAAGGAATTTACCAACTTCACATTGGGCTGGATGATCTCCAGTCCAACATAGCAATAAACAGCTTATAGTAACCGGGCCAGGTTCTATGCCATTAACACATGCTGCATACTCAACAGTGACACCTAAAATGTAATGCGATGTAATACAAAAAAGTAATGTAGTCATACCATTAATAAAGCTATCTTCAATATCTGTAACGAGTGGGTCAAGAAAGGGATCAAGGGCCCATGGCATTTTATTTGGTACTATATATCATGGTACAAATCCACAAACATACACTTCCTCTATCTTTGAACGATCTTCTTTTGACATTGTAGCTACTTGTACTTCTATTGAACCTGCATTTTTTGCAAATTAATTCTTAATTAAATATATAATACACACTAAGTTTAACTCACCACAGCTATGTTTGCATAAAGTTGAAAATGGTTGCCAGCCATCCCATTGCCCTATGAGGGCAATGTTCCTTGGATCACCTTTAGCAAATTCCAAAAAATAGTCACAAGTGGAGTGACACATTGGACAATGAACTCTCTTAAAACCTTGAATATTGCTGTCAGGCAATGAAGAAACTACATCTGAACTGACAATTGATCCACTGTTGACACCTAACTTGAAGCAACCATGTTCGATCTGGATCCCAAAACCAGCTGAGTTCTGCAAATCGTTCCCCATCCCAAATCTCTCGCAAAAGAGGATCTTGCCGACGATGAGAAGAAACTCCATGAATCCATCTCTCCTTTTCCTTCCAGTGTGCAGTCATCTTTTCACAAAAGGATTTAGATGAACACCAATATTTGATTTTGTTTTTCAAACTCAAATAGTGATATGGGATTGTGCCAGGTTTCTTGCGGTACTTGCATAAATCTGATGGATTTTGCATGATGCTCCTTAAGTTGGGATGAGTTTCATTGAGACATATATAGTATGTTACAGGATCATTGTACCCGGCTTTTTTCAATAAATTCATGCAAGCACAGTAGGATGTAGGCCATCTCGATAGCAAGGCAGTGTCTCCTTTACAGTACAGATCTCTCCCATAGTTCACTATGTTTATTGGATCCTTTTGAGAACCACACATTTTGTCAGCAAGCTCAAAAGCCTTAAGAACAGCTGCGATAGTATCTTTGTTGACCATTTCTGAATCTACTGTTTCTCTTTCCACTTCTTGGGAAATTTGAGGGTGGTCTTCGCAAGATGTAATATCAACAGCTGCAGTTGTATCCATGGCTGCATTCAGGGGCGTAGCTGAGGTAGGGCCTGAGGGGGCCTGGGCCCTACCATCAAAGTGGCCTTATAATTATATTCATAACCCAAAAGGTTATATTCATTGTTCTTACAATAACAAAAGGGGATGGCTGATAACCACAGCTCTTTTAAAGCTATGATAATTTCACTCTGATTTTGCTCAGCTTGCAGGAAAATGCCTCCATTTTGTTACGTAAAAAGGGTGTGGCCAAAATCGCGGCGCACTTCGCGCGCCATTTTGTTTCCTTGCCCTACCGTCACCCAAGGTCCAGCTACGCCCCTGGCTGCATTGGTACTAATACTAGGTGTATCTGCATTTTCCACCTCATTGCTTGTAGATAAGCCTAATGTGCCTGCAGATAAGCCAAGTGTTTCAGCATTATCTTGTTCCTGATTAAGTGATTTGTCAGACATCGTTAGTTCAAGCTCTATGTTCATACAATTAATTCATGTCAATCACAGTAATACAATATCAATTATGCATACTATTTCTCTGCCAATGTCGGTATTCAGTTGATCTAGATACAGCCTTTCCATTACATTCTTTGCAAGGACAATGAGTATGAGTGTAGCCTTTAGCAGGGCAAGAGCAATACGAGACATCTGCATGTTTCCAAGACATTATTGCAATTGCATCCTGAAACACCACACCCACAATTCTATTTATAGCGCAGCTGCATTAGACATAACCTAGTTAACACTTGCCACACAAGCCTGAAGCCTCTTTCAGTTTTCAAGCAGCTCGTTACAAGCCCCTAGACCTTTCTAATTACAAGCTTTACGAGCTGTGCTAAGTACACAATCTATTGTGCTAATCGGTGAGTTGTAAGAACCGGACAGTATTTCTTCAACCAGATCTAGTTGGTCTGTTGGTCAAGGATGACCAGTGACAGTGCGGTAACTGACATATCTAAGTGGAGTGCAGAAGACGTTTCACGATGGATATCAGAAGTATTCTCTGAAGAAACTGGCAAATGTTTTCTTGGTTAGTACAGTAATACTTTACATTTGTGGCAACATTAATAAAGGGTGAGGCTGGGCCCCGGCTTTACTATTTTTTGGAATGAATGTTGAATAGTACATAATGTATTATAATATGTATATTCTGTGGAAGCAGTGTTTTCCCCTTCCTTTATTATTAAATTTGTTTTAATTTTTATACATATTCTACTATTATTACAATTAAGGGGTTTTTAATTTTATTTTGTTTTATTACTGTAACAGTTGCCTTAAAGTATTCCACATGTAATTATATATAGTGTATATGAATATTTTAAAAATTTATGGCTAGCAAGGAGAATCTTTTATGAAGTTATCTTATTTTGATGTATGTGAAATTGGAGTTAATTGCTAATGTTCCTGCTAATGTTATATTAATTATAATTTAAAATAAGTGACGCTAGCCTAGGATATTGTTTTACAATAACAATATAATGTATAATGTGTTCAAAGAGCCTTCCTTACCTTTAATATCAAGATATTTGCATTATTTTATAAAGCAAGAAATCGATGGTGAAACATTACCAATGTTGGTGAACTGTGCCAGTCTGGAACAGTTAAATGCCTGTGGCTTGCATACCATTAAAAAACAAATGAAACTTAGGAAGCATTATAGTACTCTCTGTACTCCTGAAACAGTTAGCTGTGATGGCACTGGTGGGACAGTATCTGCTTCTCCAAGTGCAACTAGCTGTGATTCAAAAAAATTGACGTTATCTCAAATGAAAGTCTTGTCCCCCGAACACAAAAGGCTATATTTGATGAAGTAAGCACTAAGATGTTATTTGAAAACAATTTTTACATTTAAATTGTAGAAGAAATAAAGTTGCTGCAGCTGCAAGAAACACCTGGCCAGGAAATAATGTTCCATGTTTCCGCAATAATAAAAAGGAGAAGGAAACTTTGGATGATCTTGTTATAAGTCTTATCAAAGAGTGTTCCTTACCAATTTTTGGAGAGAAAGCAATAAGGCAGCACATTTTGGATACACTTACAGAGCGTCGAAGAAATGTTAAAAAGGGATACAATTATGAACAAGTGAGAATTGTAAACCTATATTTATGTGTTATATGTTTGATCTATAGCCTCCTGCTAAAAAGAAGCTGAAATTGCAAATTTGATTTAGAAAATTCAACAGATATGGGTACATGCAAATCACTTACTGTATAATTAAAATCATCCTATACTTTTTTTAGATAAAAGTGCTACAAAAGATAAAGAGGAAATTTGTGTAGGAAAGTTGAAGAAGTATGACGAAGAAATTGCTCTGAATGATGAGGATGAGAAAGAAGTAAAAAGAGGAAAAAGTGTAATGAAGAAAGTGCTCCAAAGGATGATGAAGTTTGTGTAAGAAAGAAGTGTGATGAAGAAAGAATGAATGATTATTATAGTCTTGTAAGATAATTTTTATTTATATAGAAGCTACTCACACAGATATGGAAATCAATAGTGTTAATTCTGATAATGCTGAATCTAGTATGAAACTATATAATAATAATTTATATTATTGTGTCCCAATAATTATAGTGAACGACAATGATAAAGATACCTCCATTATCATTAGTGAAGATGAAGATGTAACTTCTTTATTGGAAATTATTTTAATTTATTTTTTAATAGTACCTTCCATTATTATTATTATTTTAGCTTTGTCATCCAAAAGCGCTGAAGTAATAGTAATGTGTGCCTTTGGTTTACATTTTATTAAAGAAGTCAGTCGTGCACAAATAAGCTCTGCTGCCAAGCAACTGTTATCAAAAGACGAGCGTCGAAAACTTCAAGGAGCAGAGAAGAACAAATTTATGAAACCCTTGGCTATTGGATTTATTAACCAAAATATTGTGACTGTGACAGATAAAGCAAATTTTGAGAATCTCTCCAGAGAAGATGTCATAAAAACAGGCACTTTTTAATGAAGTCTGTGATTTCATTTTTGTTAACCATACTCAATTTATGTTATGTGTTATGTCTTTGTATTATACCTGATGCATTGGATTGAAACAATTATTTTAAAATGTTAAAGAATTTGAAAACTTATACAATGTATTTTGTTGAGTGAATTATAATTAATATAGTATTAATTATAATTTAATCAATTATTTTAGTGTGGAAATAATACCCTTTTTCCATGATGGGAGTACAGAAATCATTCAGGTACCTTTAATGGGATTTAAGCATTATATGGAAATACCTTTTTCCCATGATGGGAGTGTAGAAACCATTACTTTCCCATTATGGGAATAAATCAATAATGCAAATCCAGTTCCCACAATGTGATTTAATATGAAAATGACCTCTTTCCCATTATGGGAAACCACTTGAATTTGAAAATCCTGTTTTCTATGATGAGATTTTATACTAGTGACTTTCCCATGATGAAAATTAATCATTTAATGTGGAAACACCTGTTTCCCATGATGGGAATGTGGAAACTATGAAATTATTGCATTCACATCATGGGATTAAATCATTCAGGATGGAAAGCCAGCCTCCAATGATGGGATTTAATTATTTAATATGAAAATACCTCTTTCCCATTATGCAAGACAAACTTCCCACAATGGGATTGAAATCATATTTTGTACTTTCCCGTGATGGGTTTATATTACTTTAGTATGGCAATTATCTCTTTCCCATCATGGCATTTATTAGCTTTTCATGGTGGGATCATTATCATCCAATGTCGGGAATCACTTATATTCCCATGTTGAGAATTGTTCCACAATTCCAATAATGGCATTTTTAATGGAAATTACTGAAATCCCAAGAATTTTTCCAATATTGGGTTAAGGAAATTTTTTCCTGTGTACTATGCTACAAGTTGGTAGGATGCCATTAAACATGCAGTTAGATGAAATTTTAGTGTGGTTTCACAAATGATATTTTTATTCCTGAGTGACACTTTTTGCTTTCTCTTTTAAGATTTATTATTGTACTGTATGATTATTTTAAAACATTTTTACTAAAGAAATTATAAATAAAACTGGATTAAATGACAAATTTGGAATACTCCGACTGTATTGGCACACTTCTTGATACAAATACTACATTACTGGAAGCAATGATTGTTTATTGACCTGTGGAAATCAAATAAGTTAGCATTTTACAATTGTAATGAGTGTTACAATGTTGAAGCACTCTGACACATTGCAATACTGATTTCTAGCTGATATTTTGGATGTGTAAGTATTGCAAAGGATTCTAATCTTCAAATCCTTTTTTTCTCTTCCAACCTCTAAGATGCACGAAATTAGAAGGATTTTAGTTTGCAACTTCTTGCTTCATCACACACATGAAAACACTTGTGTTCGGCGTGGCCTTTAACACATGATATATTCCCTACGTCATTACCCACGTGGGTATTATTCGGAACAAGAAGAGGTAACTGTGTGAACCAGACCCTTCCCCGCCGTCCACCACAATGACTGTAGGCTAGGGAATGGTCTCGCTCGTGAGACTATCTCCAGCCTACAGTCATAGTGGTGGATGGCAGGGAAGGGTCTTGTATTTTGTCTTACCTGGCCTTGTTTCGCGCCATTAAAAAACATCACAATCAGATTCATAATCATCATTATAACGACACTCGTCAAGTGACTGTCATATGAAGAAGTTGAGCAACTATGTATGGATTGTATTGGCTGTGGCAAGAGAACATTTGCTGGTCAGAGGTGACCATTGGGGACTCCTGAATCTGTTAATGTTGTAGAGGCACTTCACATGTTGTTAGTGAAACGAGTTGGATATGACTTTGATCAAAATGTCATTTCGAGGTCTTTTGCTTGCATTAAGTGTTTTGTTGCCTACACAACGTATTTTCAAAAAAGGTCTTGAGCTATAAAATAAATCATCAGAAGTAGCAGATCACTTAAAGGGTGTGACAGACCACCACTTACTCAACCTACCACCAACAAAGAGGCTACACCATGTCATTGTGGAATCATCAAGCTCTTCACCACTAGTTTCTGTAAGATATGCTGCCTCATTATTTATGCTTATATCTATATAGATTAACATTGAATATCCTAGTGGTCGCAAGACAATTGTAATGAAGACCCCTGAAAGCAAAGGTTGTATTCAAAATCTGGCCAGGTCCAAGAATACCTCAAAGAGTATGGCCATGCGAGTGTTAAAAAATGAGAAGTCGATGACCTAATTACTGAAAGAAATAGGACGTATTCTGAAGTGTGAGCTAAAAAAACTATTCCTTGAAATTAAATTCATTCCTGACGTTAAATGACAAAGAGCATATTTCTCATTTTCCGGAGATGAGTTACTGAAAGTATTCCAGTATTAATGAGTTTTTTAAAGCTGCTACTGATTCTCAATCCACTCATCAAAATCATAATTACATTGTTAGCATGATTGTTTGCATTCTTGGTAAATATCGCTGTTTCAAGATGTATTTGTTCCCAAAAATAATATCTGCACTTTTATTTTCTTCCCACGTTGGAACATCGGTAAATTCTAACAATATTTATATTAATCCTTTGTTGCATTGTACTGCAGATTTACTAGAAAAGCTGATGTTATCAGTTAGCAGAAATGCTACCTTCATGCTGATTGATGGTTTTGATGAGAAGTATGACCAGCAAGTTTTGATACAGAAGGATAGCATCACTCCATCATGTCCAACAACTAATATAGTATGTACAATAATACCTTAAAACCAATTTTTACAAGAACATAAAAAATTTAATAAAACAAGATTAAGTAGGATTCTGAACGACCAACAAAAATTCAAAATGAAAATCCTATTCGTGATGCAAATTCTACTCTACATTGTACTTTCAATGTTGTTATGTAAGAATTACGGATCACCTTACAATGTAGAGTAGAATTTGCGTCACGAGTAGGATTTTCATTTCATATTTTCGTTGGTCGTTCGGAATCCTACTTAATCTTGTTTTTTTTTAATTTTTTATGTTCTTGTTTGTGTTAATTTTTTAATAATATTTATAAAATTTATTTAGTTGCCATTGTGATGCTTGTTGATTTTACACAAACAATAATTTTCTTTATTATTATTATCATTGTTGTGACATTACATCATTTATGAGAGACAGCATTGAATAGACATGCTGAAGGAATATCAACTATCCTGATGACAAGTGAAATTAATACTAGTCTTGATACAAGTCCTTGTTCAAGAAGCTGTGAGCTGAGAGTGTCCATCTTCCCTGCAATGTTGCAGCAGAATGCAGCTCTTCCTGTTCTTCCAGGCTGTTGTCATTCATATCATCATTGCATATCATACATTAATTGATTGTTTTTTTAAATAAAATAAAATCACACACTTGATAAAACAGTAACATGTAAGATTAATACCTTCTTTTAGCTGTAAACCTCCACTACAGTATTGCAGTAGCAAGCCTAGCTTGATAAAAAAATTAATTGCTTCTTCCAGAGCTGCAGATCTGAGCATGCGCGACCCAGAGCTGCAGATCTGAGCTTGCACGACCACACCCAAATTTTGGAGCACATGGCATGCTTCAATAATTAACAAAATGGCGGCATGCAGCTAAGATGGCTCAAACCAGCAGCCACAGTACCACTTTTTCCTTACTTGAATAATGATATGATGGGACATGGACCTGCGCATAGACTGTTGAAGTAGATTGGTGTAAGAATTATCCTTGTAGCACCAACTGATACTGAGATACACACCGACAACTGGATTGACAGGAATTCTTGATGATGATGATGATGATGAAGATGAAAAAAGGTGGCTAAACAAAACGGCCGGTTTGCCAATTTTTGGCTTTTCTCTTAGACAGGGCCTAGAGCCACGCTATGGGTACCAATGGAGTCCTCTGGTCAAGATAAGGTCCTCTATAAAGTCTGGTAAGCATAGGAGCTCGTTTTCCCGGTATAGCAAGGCTGCAAAAGTTGTGGCAGCCATTTTGTTTGGGGATGAATCCTACTTAGTAACGCTACCGCGTTACTAATATTTGGGGTTCATTTAAATGTCTACAGCTTGTGAGTTACAGGAAGATGAATGTACATGTTTTGAGTTAGAGAAAGATGAATAGAAACAGGTGCAATATCAGGGGACAGACATTCAGCTTCTTTACTTAATAGTCTTCCATTAACATGAAGTAACCAATTGAAACTTTCATTTATTGTTATAGACATTGCTACATTTGGACCTGAAGTTGCATTATTTTCTAAAAGTGCAAAGATCATGCTCTCATCTGAATTAGATATATCTTGCCAGCCTAAATCACATGATTCTTATATGCACAACTGAGATTAAAATTTAAAATAATACCATTCTGCAATAGTATTCTTTTCGATTTCTGCTTCAACACCTGCAAAGAGGTTGCTGGGGCACATTCATAATTTTCAATGGGGATTGAAATTGTTAGCTGCTGAGGCCTGGTCAAGTTCTTAGTTCTTGCAATGTTTTTGGGCAAAGAATATCTGAATTTTCGCGGCATTATAATACCTACTGTCAAATTCAAACCATAATAATAAAAATGAATCATAGTCTTACTTGATTGCTACTTATTTCTAGCAGAGTTGCAGTACTACCACTATGCGTCTCATCCAAAGTACGACCGTTACCATGGCAAAATTAATGATCACGTGACTCAAATGAGAATGGCGAGGTGAGATTAGCAAGACATAAAATTATGTATAAAATAAACATCAAATATAAACTATTATTAAACACTACTATTAGTTAAATTAATTATACTGCTATACTTATACAAACAAATAGAATTATAGAATTAAGTCTGAAGTTGTTAGAGGTACACAAAAATAGTCATCAAAATCAACAGTTTTCGCTTGAATCTTTAGTTTAGAAGACTTGACGAGATGCTTTTAATTCCTGTTTTATAAAAAATAAAAAGAAAATAGATTTACAATCTTGTACAATCATTTAAACACTTGTATATCGACAGAGGAGGTACAAAAGTAAAAAATGAGACGCCACTGCCATAGCAATGAGAAAGTGGGCAGAAATGTGTATCAAATTGAAATGCTGCTATCCTAAACTTACTTTTAAGGTATGTTAATTTTTATAGACCATTAGAGAGCCCTGCAGTTAAGAAACAGAAACATCCGTCTTTTGAGAAAAGCGGCGGCCATCTTTAAAATGATAACACACATTGCGAAAACTTTTTATTAAGAAATAATGCGCTCACGTGATCCCGTTACCCATCCCGGTACGTGAGTATAATAAATCCCTGGTAAGAGTGTATATTTAGTTACAATCTCTTTCAATATAAGGCGAAATGCCACATTATAGTCTCCTCGAACTCCATGCACAGCATATCAAACCTTAGCTTTATCTGGAGATAAAGCAATGACATCAGGATTTATCATGCACAACAGTGCTGAAACTTTTTCATATAGCTCATTTGTTGCAGTAGCTGTCAATGCCATTATTCTCATGTTTCTCTCTATTAATCTCCTCATTTCTCCTATTATGGCAAAACAGTCTCAAAAGCTCAATCCCCTGCAATTTGAAATAAAAATAATAATTTAGAATTAAGTCAAGCATAAAGACTTAATACAACAAAATGTGATTCATCACCTACAAGTCCAATGAGCCTTCTTTGATAAATTTTGTTTGATACAAATACTCTCCTCCACTTTCCCATCAGCGTCTCTGGACTCATTACAACAATACTAAATTTTCCTTTCATCCATCACCTCCTTTTCCTTATTTGCAACAATATATTCTACACTAACATTTCTACGCCTTAGTGATTTAGCTTGATCCTTAATTAAAGCAGTCAATGGGCTGATTACTATTATTATTGACTTGGAGTCATCATCATTGTCGTAGATCAAGTCAAATGCTTTAGGCAAACACACAAAACAGGCAGTTCGGCCATATCCAGTCCGTAAAATACTGAACACATCCTTGCCATCAATAAATGTAGTGATACAGAGGGTCTGCTCGTCTTTTATTCTAGGATATCCTAAAATTTCCCCGGCTTTATGAATTGCCACTGTCACTTCCATTACAGACATGTGGAAACACGCTTCTTTTACGTCATTCTACTCCTCCCACTTCACGTGATAAAGTTTTGACAGTACAGACATTTCTATGGCCTCCATGGAACAAGGCCAGGTAAGCCAAAATACCAGACCCTTTCCAGCCATCCACCCCAATGACTGGAGGCTGGGGAATGGTCTGGACAGCGAGACTAGTATGAAACCCAAGACGCTTCTTCTTTAGAGTAGCCTTTCCGTAACACTAAGAAATAATCTATACCCTACAAAAAGCTAGACCATGCACACCATTCAATAATGAGTCCTAACTAGCACAATCATGTATGCAGCAATGGTTACACTGAGCATAGGCGGCTGCAGGCCTAGGCATTGGGGGTCATTGCCTAGGTTAAAAATTAGACCGGAAGTAGAAACAATGCTATTTAACCCTTTTACCACACCCCTTTAATTAGAAATGCCTAGGCTGAGTTGGACATCTGCAGCCGCCAAAGACACTGAGTGCCTGGCTCATTCTCACTTTAATTTTTCTATAAGTCTTTCTACCTCATAAACCCCTTTTGATGTCAGTGAAATTTTATTAGACTGGTACTCTTACTCAATTATGTCAACTTCACCATTCAAAACCTTATAAAAGCCACTTTCTTATTTCCTGCTCTGGTTCTCATGGCCATGTTGTAACTTCGTACCACAGCAACAGTAATTTTTACTTAATAATGATTCATGAATTCAATTATATTTTATTAATCTCATTAACAGTAAATGACCGAAATTAATATTAAATTTCTGGACATTGGCCCAAAGTCGGATGTCCAGGATAAAGTTTGGAATGTAAGTCTGTGCCAAGTAAGAATTAAGAAATTATACACATATTAATTAATTAGAAAGAATTTTTTACTAAAAAATGCTTTTGTTTATCTCAAGACTGTCAGCATAATTGCTGTATTTTTTAAATTTTTCACCTTTTGTGAGATTCTTCTTCCTAGTGCTGCTCTTTAAACAGAGGTGGCAGAACATAATTTAGGCTGAAAATTAATTAACTTATTAAAATGAGTGTGGTTTTATACAAAAAATGGCTCCTATTTTTCTATTGTTGGATTTACATGATTTTAGACTGATTTTCTGTGTCTTTTCATCAAAGTAAAATGGAGAAATGATGACTGCAGGTCTTGTTTTACTGATAAAAGTCAGCTAAATTTAAACTTGCAGAAAATTTCTGGTAGGGCTCAGCCCCTGCTGTTTCAAGACTGGGGGGCTTTAGCCGCCTCTTCCCCCCCTGTTCTGCTGCCTATGTTAAACATTTTTTGCTGATAAATGAAGGCTTGGACTAGCTGTGCAGATTGATCTATAAGTCTAGAGGACTTAATTTTTAAGTTAAAAAAGTTTTTAAAAGTGTCATTAAAATATGCAGGACAAACCAAGTACTTAATACTCACCTGCGCAGCAAGTCTAATAATACACTATGGCTTGCTTAGCCTCGCCCCTTTAATGTACTGCATTTGTCTAGTATGACGTATTTCCGGTGAAACACGCCTCAAAACATCCTGGCAATTCATGGTCCGCATTTGAGACTTGGTCCTATGGCACGCCAATGCTATCAAAATTCCCAAGTCATTGATGTCATATTCCTAGCTTATAATGTCATATTGTAAGCTTAAAATGTCACATCGCAAGTTGTGATGGTATGGGTGTGGTTATATGGGAGTGGTTTACTGTTTTGTTTCAATATGGACTCTAGCTGGTGTAATTTTTCTCTCAATTAAGCAGTCTTTTTTACTCTTGGCGGAATCAGATTAGAGTGGCTAATAAAAGATATGTGAACTATGCCACAGAGAAACTAGAGCTTGGCTTTACAAGTGTTCACATTATTAATAATAATTATTATTATTGAACAATGTTTACAAAGTGTGAACAAAAATGAAGGAAGTAATAAACACATGTACGATAGACTCATGGACAAACAAACTTTATGGGGTTACTAGTAAGTTGCTACTAGCACCCATTAAAATAAAATAAATTAGGAAGATTAAAAATTAATAGAATAGGATAATTTATGATGAGATAAAAGAGAGATTTGAGCGAGTGGATTTGGGCAGAGAAGAGATAGATAAAAGGAAAGGTAACAAATTATACAGAGGCTGCTGAATTAAGGGAATGAACATGGAGCTGCATTCTTTATATGACAAGCTGAGCATGGACACATGATATGAAAAGAACAAGAATCAATTGAGTCAAATGTGCCAGACAATAATGCCAGAATTTTAAGAGGTCTGACTTAATAGTAGTGAGGGAGAGGTCTATAGAGGGAGAAAGTTCCATAATCTTGCGTCATCAATGCTACTATCAGAATAGAATTTAACATTTGGAGCTTTCTTCTTAAACTCTTCTAGTAAGATCTCCAAACTATTGCCTCCTTCAGGTAACATGACCTCTCTTCTTATGGCTGCCTACACAATCAAAACCCTCATTTTTAAATGGGTGTGACCACACCGACTGTACATGTGCTGACTCATGTGACATTCAAAGCGTAGGATGTGACATTCTAAGGTTAAAATGTGACATTGCAAGCTTTGAATGTGACATTACAGACTTGGGTATTTTGATACTAACAGTGTGCCATAAGCATGTGACTAATAATGCTCTTACAATGTCGCATCCTTGAACTTTCAGAATGATCACGTGATCCAGTAGGCATGTCTGTTCTGTTCTGCAATTACCTATGGAGAGTTTCGAATGAAGCACTTTTTTTAAGAGCTTCAAAATGTCTTTAGTTCATGTCAGTCCCACATTGGAATAGCTAACAAAGGGTTTGTGGATTATGTAACGCAGAAGCTTGAACTTGGTCTCCAAAATATGAAGAAAATTCAAGAAGTCCTCGAAATAGCAATTGAACCAGACACAGAGGTTGAGAAAGTAGTTTGTTGTGAGGAAGTATTGGGACCTAATAAGTACTCTGGAATCCTGCATTATATGGCTCCTGTCATATTGGGATGCATATTTAGAAAGAGGAGCATAAGCACACAATGCCAAGCAGGGTCTTAGTACAGTGGCTCTACAACTTAATTAAATTTGCCTAAGATATGAAAAAATTTTGATTGGTGATGTCAAATGAAAGTTTATACTCGATGTATGTTAATGAGTTTTGTCAATTTTGCAATGACTGATAATTATTATAGTTGCTCACTTAAATTCTCTTAACTTTGGTTGTTGTTATTAATGTGCAACAATAAAATTATTGTAAATTTTTGTTCAAAAACAAAAAACTGTGCTATATTTATTAGTACCATAATCATCGTCATTACAGTAAAAGTTCCTGGAAAACCTCTTTTAATATATATAGTCGTGTTTCAGGCATTGCAACATGATTGTCCATTCCACAGTATATAAAACATTATCCAAGTGAATATATGCATGTATCATGCTTGCAGGTACTAGAAGCTAATACGGAAAACAAAATCCTAAAAACAATCATTAAAATTACATAATTAACTGATAATACTTGTCCAAGAATATCATGCAATATTATTTATACAGTGTACATGAATACCTCAGATTCATTATTTTGTGGATCAACATTGTATCTACTGCTGCAAAACATCAATTAATTCATGACCAAAGTATCATTGTCTTGTCAAGTTCAAGTTTCTGCATATGTAATCCACAAACCCTTCGTTAGCCATTCCAATTTCTGGCTGACATGAACTAATGACCCATTCCAGCTTTTTAAGTTAAAAAACTGATCATCCAAAACTCTCCATTGTTAATTAACTCTTGAATAGACTGAGACAGAGACACTCCTACAACATCACGTCATTATTCTGAAAGCTTAAGGATGTGACATTGTAAGAGCATTATTAGTCACGTGCTAAATCACATGAAAAGCTCATATGGCACGCCGTTATTATCAAAATTGCATTCCTCATGAAGTGACATTAAAAAAACTATGTCACATCGTATAGTTTCGATGTCACTTCGTAATTTTTTGTTCATTATAATGAGTAGGCGTGCCTTGGCTTAAATAGAAGTTAAAATTTCAATGGAGGACATTAATTGGAGCATGTTTTTCTCAGAGATAGGTCGCCTTTTTGACTCTTGCGAAAGACAGACAGATGTAGCAAGTGAAGCATAGTGCAATTACATTATTAAGAAGTTGGAATATGGACTCAGAAACGTTTACTTAATTGACGAGAAACTCGCCATTACCTGTGAGCCAGAAACTGGGCTAAAACCAGAACAGGAAGTTCTTTGAGATATAGAGAAATGACTGATGAACTTATATCCTGCATGTTGTCACTTTTATGCTACTGGGGCACATATATGGACGATTTGGGATCTATGTCTGTTGCTTTCCATTATTCAGCTGAGGTCACTCACAGGCCTGGTAGAGGTTGTCCTATGTTTTCTGTTGAGAAGGATCAGATACAGTATCTCCATTTTTGCACTTTTTGTGGCCAGAGATAAGCAACCTGTTAGGTATATCACGTATGACTTTGTATAGAAGAGATTTTGGGTTGCTGCAAACACCAAATAGGATCATAAGTAGTCATGAACTGACTAGAATCATCCAACAATTACATCATGATAACCCTTATTGTGGTGAGACAATGATAATGGGACATTTGAGGGCAAGCTGAGGTCAATAATCAAATCAACAGATCCACTCAACACTGCTTTACACTGGCACACTTTTCATAGACCATATTAAGTTCCAGGACCTAATTTGCTATGGCATTTAGGTGAAAGGCTTTTTGTAATATACCCTTTAAGTTTAATTATACCTCTTTATTTATTATTATGAATTTATTCCTTTTTATTTGTGCAGATGGTCACCACAGGCTAGTTGGGTTGAGATTTGTGACCCACTGTGGTATCAATTGATACAACCATTTAATAATGTTCATGAAATGCTCAACTAATAGCAAGGCTTCCACCATACTACAATGCTTTACTGAGGCTGTTCAAAGGTATGGTCTTCCCTCAAGAGTACGAACAGATCAAGGCCATGAAAATGTTTTGGCTGCTCAGTATATGTTGGAAAATTGTGGCCCTGGACAAGGTAGCATGATTACTGGAAGCTCTGTCCACAATCAGCTCATAGAGCGTATTTGGAGGGATATGCACAGATGTGTGACACAATTATACTATAGATTACCGTCTATCTGGAAATTTTTACTGTGACTTAAATTTTACTGGATTAGAACTTCGCAAAAATTAGATTACCCATATAATTCCATGCCACATTCAATAATACATGACACAGTCTTATTTAGTAAAAATTGAGTCACAGCACAATTTTAAACCACAAAAATTTCCTACCACACTAATTTCCTGATCTACGGTATTCTATTTTCTGGAAGAGGATCATCGAACCAAGTTAATAAGCCCCATTTATTTGCTCATCATTATGTATCCTTACGAAGAAATAATACATCACTAATACATCACTAACATCATTTAAAGATTGATGGAATATGCATAGCCTTCGGACTGAAAGCAACCATTCACCGTTACAGCTATTTAACACTGGAGTTTTGCATCTACAAAGCAGCGGCTACGAAGCCATAAATTTTATTCAAAAAGTTGACGGTGGATGTCGCACTGACTATGGTGAACCAGTTGTTGTGGACAATGATGATGAGGTAGAGGATTGCAAATGATACAGAAATTTGATTAATTAATTTGCTGTATTTTCTAAATGCATTCATAAATTAAAGTGTTTTAAAATTTTACTAACCAAAAAGCATAATCTACGTAAAGACTAGTGTCATTTTTGGGTTTTGGCAGCAATTGTAATTATAATTTTCATTAATTGCATTAACTTCATGTAGTATATCAATTTAAAATTAATGCAAATCATTTCCAATTTCTCCTTGTTTTGTTTAGAAATGCAAATCTCATTGTCTGTTTTTCTTTACCTACAGGGGTTACACGTCCCAGAAACTAGATTTGACATCTTTGAATTAGATTATCAAAATTTGTGCAGAACAGTTGATCTTTCAAGAGAAACTAATGACCATGGAAATTTTTTACATACAAAATATAGAGTTTTTGCAAAATCAATGCCCTATTTAAAAATAATTATTGATTATTATGATTATTGATTATCGTGATTTGACCAATGGTAATAATAAATGATACAACACACATTATGATTATCAGGAATGATGAATGAATAGCACAAAATAGTCAAGTGTTGTTTGTTGTTGATAGTCAAAAAGAATCCATTATCCATGTGTAAGTGTCATCAGAGTGTACACATTTAAAATTCTTCATAAATTCTGGATAGGATAGATACATTGCAGACAGCTCCAATAAATTGCTACAAGTGTGTGAAGTCGGTCTGCGCGCCAAGCCCAAGAGCACATTAAATTGTATTTCGATTTTAGTAGTGGAGCAGACTGAGCTCCCAGTCACAAATCTTACAAAAGATGAACTTCTTCAAGTGTCATGCTACCAATATTATTGCCAAAGGTAATTAAACACCAATCTCTGTGCCTTGTTCATGACAACAGGGTCCTGTATAAGACTTAAAACTTTGATAGGTGTAGCACTAAGAGTTTCGTACAGCTGATATAAATCTGACTGTGATTATGCGTGCCACAAATCTTGGTGTTCTGATGGAATACCAGAGTAAATCATTGAATATGCCATCATCAGACTGATGAGAAATATAAAGCGAGCTATGTTAGCTAGAAGTTGAGAGAGGTTGCTTGGTGACATTAGTTGCCTGCAACCATAGTTGCCCAATACAGTAAGAAGTTGCTCCTGGACATCTGATGGAAAAGTGCTTGTAGAGGTCTGTGCAGCAATTTGTACAGCACCATGCAAAACTCTCCAATCAACATCACTCACATAATCAAGGAAAAAATCCATAAGAACTCTGCTTTCAACATCTATATTAGGACCAAGGAGCATTGCTGCAAGAGATGGGAAAGATATTTGTATAGGAAGAAAACCAGTACACAAGTACCCATGTGATGATATCTTTCCAATTGTAGGCAGCAATGACAAATCAACATGTGGACTAATAACTGGCACCAAGAGCTTGCTACCATCAAATAACTTCTGATATGCAAGCTGCCAAAATGCTGACATTACATCTCTAGATACCCCACCAAGGTCTACAGCATTCTCTCCAAAGTAATCCATTTGTAGTGGATACTTTTGAACTATTTCGCTGTTAGTGTTGTACAATTTCAGTAAATCTTCAAACAAGGTGATGTGCTTGATTGTATGAGGGCCAATAACAGCTGCACACGAGGACACAAATTTCATGAACTTAGTCCTAGACTCTTTCTCTGTTGATGAAATTAGGTGAAGTACATTTAAAATATAGCATTATTCATTTGCACGCACCAATTCTTAGCACCCTTTCAATAAACACTGCATCAACAGTGCTGTCCTATAGTAGAGAAAATAAGTAAATGCCTTGCTAAAACTATTGTGTACAGCAAACAAAAGAAGCCAAAATTATTTCGAAAAAATAGCAAATAATAGTGTTAATATTTTATATTTTGAATCTCACCAATTCCGTAATTTCAGTTATCCACTCTCCTTTACTGAAATATCTTTCCTCAGTCATTTCTACAATCAAGAGAACTGAAGAAGTAATACCATATTGAGACAAAGCTTTGTCATCAAGAAACATATCTTGTCGAGGGACATCTGCAGTGCAAAGCTTGAAGCGATTTCCAACATCAGTATTAGCAAAAACATACTGATAGACCAGCTGGATAAAAGTAACTTAAAAACAGAATAGCAATTTAATACAAACCTTGGTACTGTCTTGAGCCTGGAATAAAGCATTCACTACAGTCCCATTTGTCATTCTGATACCTAAATGGATACTATCCTCTGTATGAACTTTTTTAAATAAAAGGCAGAGTATTGTCTCTAAAGTGTTCTCAGGCCTGTAAAACAAGAACTGCTGCTTGACTGTCCTATAGTTAAAAGCCAAAAGTGTAAAGTAAGTAACATTGATGCAATACTAGCATCACATGAAAATCTGACAAATTTGTATTTTAATACTGACAACAGATTACCAGAAGACTAGGGGAAATAGTGAAAATTTAAGGAGAAAGTGGAATGCATACATGGCAAATACAAATAAATCAGTAACTTATAATATTTATAACAAAGTAATTAACTATAAAAAATAATATTAAGGCACATCAGAAAACTGATCACCTTCTCTTGATAAATTTGAAGAGACTGCAAATGCTTCATTTTGTTCTTTGCATTTTGTGTGCCATTCATCATATTCCTGTACCACAACTCAATACATGAAGTTTTTTTATAAACTACACCTCTGACTTCTTTGGTTTCTTAAAATCTACCACAAGCAATTCATCGCCATCATCACTGAAATCCCATTTTTGAGCATCAACTTTAGCAACTTCTACTTCACAGGTTTCATCCTCAGCAACAAAAGCACTATTATTCTCATTCTAGAAAGAATGATGTACATTAGCTGTTCACACTGATTGCATAACATCATAAAATTTCAAGTATTTACACATAAAACTTACAGTAATCCTGCAATACACAGGACTAGAAATTGCAGTATAAAACCGCTCACGAGCATATAATCATATTCATTGATGTTTAATTATATTCATATATTTTTAATAAAATTCATTGAGATACATTATCTGTTTCCTTGGAAACAAATTGTGAACAACACGGCGTGCAGTTGTGCTTTTGGTAAAAGAAAAGGCTACTACAGTAGTTTATTGCAGGAAACAGTAGATGACAGTACCAATCATGCTCAAAATATGGCTAATGGTTTTGATGATGATTTATTTCAAGTTGAGAGACTCGTAGAGAAGAAAATGGTGAAGGTAGGGTCAGTTATTTCAGTACATGGTAAAAATGGTGGCTCATTGTAGGGGAGAAGTTATTATTTAGTGTTATGGAAAGACTATTCTAAAGAGGAAGCAACTTGGATTGATTCTTGTAATATTACAGAAGAGGCTATAAGGTTTGAGGGAGCACTGAGGTGGTTTATTTAGCTCTAACATTTCATTATAGGATGTACAATGAACCCAGTCCACCTACAAGCGTTGTACTTGATCTGTTAGTGACTTAAAAGCTGCAATTCATTCTAGTCTTTTAGCAGGACTGGTAAAAAGATGTCACATCACTATACCATTTCCCAGATATGTATTTCGCTTTTTTTTTCCTGAGTCTAAAGGAAACAAAGTAGCAAAGAAGCCGGGGAGGCTCTATAGTAAAACTGATTTCTTAAATTTGTCATATTTTAAGGAAGAGATATTCACCGCATACAATAAGCACGGAGAGGGGTGCTCTGTTTTGTTTCCTGTATACATGCACAATTTGTTAAATTCTTTTTACCATCTTATGATAGCAATAATACACATCATATTAGAAACTTTACAGAGACCCTGCTAATAAGAAAAAGAAAGACAAGAGACCTAGATTAAGCATTATAGTTACATGAATATTTCTAATTGTATATACTACAATTGCATTATAAAAATATTGGGAGGGGTTTTGGAGGAGGAGAGATACATCATGGAAGACCTGTAAGCATGCTTTCATGCATTCAGGATCAGATGCTTTCTATGCTGTGTTGATAAAGTACTAATAGGTAAGGATAGATTTTGGATGCATACATGTATGCCCCAACACTGATTTTGCTTATGACTCTGTTATCAGTTTATCTGCAATAATTAGCTCAACATTGTCAGGCTGTGTGTCATTTTTAGCTCTTTTGTAAATATGCCTTTAGTCCAGTATTCACTGTCATGCTTCTCGTAATGCCTTTTTGTTCTAGCTGTGTGGGACAAACCAATAAGTCAAGCCTCTGTTAGTAATATATCCTTTGGTGGATTTAGGTGATTGCTTGATTGATAGTGCCTTCTAGCATCATCATTTTTCTCAACACCTATGTACATGTAAACAGCATAAACATAATAATCATTATACCTTGACCACTGAAGCGCTTATTACCTTTATGCTTTGTCATAAGCTGAGGAATATGTTGACAAAACAAATGCATGTAAGGTGTAACATTGCTCTTTTGATATCCCTACATAGTTCCAAGGGCAGTAAATTGTTGTATCCATTCCTTGGTCTGTAACAATGCAAATAAGTGAGTGTATATTACACCACTCCAATTACATGTGCATTTCTTCCCACATATGCCCCAATTAGCAACCATCACAATAATTATAAAAAATTAATAGTAATTAACTGAAATTAAGCCACAGCCCCGCCCATGAAAGGAGAAACAAGGATTTTACTTCAGTGGCCTTAGTGTAGTGTTTTTAATTTCCATACCTTCCTTTCAACAATTGTTACGTCTTCATTTGATGGTTTTCTTGTTGAAATTATCTTATAAATGAAGTAGAATTCCTTAAGAGAAACAAATGTTTTTGCATGATTGAATTTAAGTACCGTAGATTGGGAAATTTTTGTGTTAAAGGTAATTGGTGTGAATTTTTTTCAAGGTGTTTTATTTTTGTTGGTTGACCGATCCACAAAATTTTTTTAACACAAAAAATTTTGGATGTGTTATAAACGGGACACGTGGCTACTAACTTTTGACAATGGTGGACTGCTATTCAATGGAAGTTGCTCATGACAGCACTGAAACTGACAAGGAGTCTCTTGGGTGAGAGCTTCAGGCCTTCATTAGGCTTAGCCTCGTGCCAGCCGTGCATGCACTACTGCACGTTAGAATAGACTAATTTCAGTAATCTAATTATTCACTGTAGAAAATATATCGTGTGAAAAAATTTCGTGGTCACTTCAACCACGAAAATATTTTGACAACAAAAATTTCCTGATCTACGGTACGTTGTTCTTACTTCCCATAACTTCATTACTTCATTTCCATGTCTAGGAAGCAATGCTGGCATCTTTGATGGTAGCCTCTGCATGAGTGTTTTTTTATCATTACCCCTCAATGATGTCCAATCATAGCCTTCTCTTCCTCGTTTCTTATCAGTTTTCCAGATCTATTTCAATCATAGTAAGGAATCATACAATGAGCAATGAACCTGGAAGGTTAGTCCACATGACTGAATAGCATCCACAGCACTATTCATGTAATGAGATTCCTTACTGACAAAAACGTTGCTTTCATCCTGGTAAATCATTTGCCACATAAGATTTCTTAACAAAATATCAGTAATTCTTAGAAACATATGTAATTCATCCACTACTACATTACTGAGCTCAATGTTAAAAAGTGGCCCATGAGATATGCCAAATTCCTTCTTTGCAACTTGCTTTTTTATCGAACATAATGATCCTTGTTTTGCTATGTGTGTTGTATCCCATCTACATGTCCAATAATATATAATCATTACTTAACATATTGTTTATAGTTACCTGTTACTTTTATGTATCTAACAATATAGACATGAATTGTTAGAGCTTGCCTCTTTCATTCCCATTGACATTAGGATGATCTATTCTATGTATTGATATAATTAAAATAATAATAGCACTGATTTTGTAATCACCACCAAAATACATTGTTAGTTGCACTTCTTTCTCTCTAATTGTAAGAAATCCTTTCTCTGCTAAACCATTTATTTCCGTCATAACTTGGGCAAAACCTTCTTTCGATCAGCCATTAACATGGCTATTGTTGATTTCTCTCTTAATTTATCTGGAAAGGCTCTGATAATCCTGTTTTGTACTTCCTGAGCTGACATGTTTCTCAAGAATTCTGTCTTTTTTATATATCCTCTTTGGAGCAAGTCCTTCCTTTTCAGTCCATGAGGGACTTTAGTAGAAGCTTTATTAGTAATCAAAACAAAATTTGTTTTACGATTTTCAGTCTCACTCCTTTCTTTTGTCTCTTTTCCTTAGTGACGATACAGTCATTAAGAGGATCAAATGCCTTGGAGTTTGCTTGTTTTGAAACTGATAAAGATGGAAAAACAGACCTCAATGTACAAGAGTCAGCTTCACTTGGCTTCTCCAGTTTTGAACAAAGAGCTTTACCCTTCAATGTGAGCTCAGTTGCCTAAATATGATTGACAACAATAAAACAGAGGCTACATGTATGATTCCTCAGTCCACCAATATGATATTCATGCTGCACTTATTCATAAGCCAAAATAAACGCCCTCATTTAATTTTTGTTTATATCAATTAAATTATATCAAGATATCAGTAGTTACCTTCATCGATATCTTCTCACAAATAGTCACTTTGTCACCATTACGAATCTCACTGGCACTTGTGATATCAATATAGGAGGAGTCCCACTTATTCGAGAAACGCTGCAGCATTAGTTCTTCCCCTTTACTGTTTGAACTTGTTCAAAGCAACTTCAGAATTCATCATTATTGCCTTTAAGGCATCAGAACCCCACAGGAGAAGAAGCTCTCGCTTGTTCTCACCACACAGCAGAAGAACATTCATTTTCACCTTGATACTGTCACATGGTTTTAGTATGCGCATGCGCATGTAATTCACTTTGGTGTGGTGACACGCCCATTTTTGGGGGGTTTCAATGTCACATTATAAGCTTAGAATGTGACATTGTAAGCTTACGATGTGACAATTGAAGTGGGAGTTTTGATACTAATGGCGTGCCATAATCTCTTGACTGTTAATTTTAGTTATAACATTGTACGCTAGGATGTGACATTGTTAGATGCAATGTGACATAGTAAGCTTAGGATGTGACATAACAAGCATCTATAATTTCCTTACAAACGGCGTGCCATACGACTGCTGAACTTTTGCATTGTTCATAATAGGTAGTTTATAAAGTTAGGACCGGACTGTACCATAGGAAAAGATTACGGATGTAACACGGGCAAATATTTTAACTTGGGACCAGACCCATAGCATGTACAATATTATGACATGCCCAAGCTCACTAACCACCTGTACTATACTAGGCACAAAAGAAGTAATTTGAAGTAGTTTCAACTATATTAATACCCCAAATTGTTTCCTATGGAGGCAAACTTAGATGTAGAGCAGCTGGAAGCTATTTCTCCTTTAACTAGTTCTCTAAAACAAGAACTTACAGTCAATGAGGTCATGAAATATTTTAGTTTGAATGTGGACAAAGTCAAGCTAACACTTCCACCATACAAACCAAAAGCTGGGGGACTTTACATACACTTGATAGACGACATTTGTAAAAATAAGTTAGTCTGATGATTTTTTATTGTTAAATTAACTGTTAAGTCGAGACACAACTTTGTACTCACTTGGGTCAATCATTTTTAACTTTCACAGTTTAGCTACATAAATGCCATTGTAGTATGACTAAGGAATTTGCAATGTAGCTACTCCACCTGCTACTTCAAAACTATTTATATGAACTAGATATATCAAATAGATATAATTTTTATACTTCCTAGTTCAACCAAAGGTCACCTTAAGAGTTACCACTCAAGTGTTAAAGCCTTTCTGGCAAGAAGGCTCAAATACCTTTTAAACTGCTACTATCTTCAATTGACAAAAATAATACAGTTCAAATAAATTATAATCAAATGAAAATACATTTACCTATGAAGACAGCCTATAGTAAACATAACATAACATTATTTATAGATGATTGGATAATCGATGGATATAGGTGGTACCAGAATGAAAACAAGGACATTCCTAGGTCTAAGCCATTGTATCACAAGACTTACTTCTCTATTGTTTTACAGTCTGGGAGTCTTGGTTTTAACCGGCACGCTTATTTCCTTGTTAAACATTAGAAGGACAACTTAGTGCTACTCCATTACTTAGGTGATGACTCTGTTGCTGTTGATTACTCTCATGAAAACTCTAAAAATAGCAGTCAAAACTACCAGAGGAATGAAGCAGCTTAGCTTAATAGTTTAGATTGTGGAGTCTTTATGTTCAGGTTATGTTATTGTATGCAATGTTTTTTAATACATTTGTGTTCAAGTTTTTGAAAAAGTGCCCAGCATTTTGCATATACAAAAATCGATATGAATTTCATTATCAAAGCGTGTTACATAAATTTTTGCTCATTTCAGATTTAGTAGCACTGAATGCATCAGGAACCATGACATTTGAGGTATGCTATGTAATAGTTAATACATGGGACGGCGTGTTTTATCTGATTTATCCGCACAAGCTTCCGGTCGAGTTGCTAAATGTAGCGCACGAGGCCGAAAGCCGAGTGCGCTATTTTAGCGACGAGACCGGAAGCGAGTGCGGATAAATCAGATAGCACACGATGCCACATGTATCAATTGTTTTAGTGTATAGTTCCAGCAAAGATTGAACGTGCTGTGCTATCACTGATATCACACTGCTGCACATTAAATAAATGAGTGTGCTATTTATAATATCACACTGCGGTATTGGTGGGAGTGTTCTGTGGGTTTTATCACAACTGTTAGGCCTTTCATCTTTGCTGCAACTATACATTAAATTATACATATCAGCAGCATGCATCTGGATATTTTATTGTAGGCTTATTCAAAGTTTGAGGCAGTGGCTAATATCATGTATCTTGCAAAGTTTCAAGTAACAATAATAACTCAAAAAGTTATACAAATGCACTATTAAAGATCAGGGCAATTTGCAACAAATGTATCCAGTTTTTTGCTAAAAACTGCAGAGAGGTACTGGCTTCAGGATACAGTGTAACAAAAATACCTTAGTTTTATTGCCTTATGAATAACATACATTCAAGCTGTAAATACTCTGGAATCTGCAAATGATTGTAATATCGAAAATGAAGACGAGGTTATGTCAGAATGTGCATCTCATCACAATGATGGCTATGATGTAGATGATGCTATCTATTTTTATTTTTAATAACTATGTAGTACTTCCGAATGCTTATGAGACAGAAAACATTACACACCAAAAAATGCTAGTACTAACATTTTTCAACAGTAATAATTTACCTAATGATATCTGTGAATTGCTGTATGGCTATGAAAAGTATATCAAATTTTACCCCAAATTTAACAGAAGTGAAAAGTATGTTCATCAGAATAGCTGCATGTCATTACCTTATATATTAGAGCTCCTGTAATGTTTGAAAGAGATTGCATCCGACACAATGTGAAATGTTTACATGTACATGTATATTATTATTTTACAATACACTACATGTATTTATCACAATTTTAGGACTATATCGGACACATTCATATGAACCTACATCGAGTTAGGGCTGTACAATATTACAATATTTAGTAATACCTCGATATTAAAATTACGACGATTTGGTATTCCTGTTTGCATAAACACATTATTGATATAGATTATTCCATAATATTGAATACATGCGGTATTTTCATTTGCGCATGCGCAGGTATTCAATAATGCGGTATTTGATATAATTGGTTTGCTGACTTTGCTCTTCTCTTGTGATTGACATTGACTATTAGTGCTGGGCGATATATCAAAACTCACGATATTTAATCGATATAATGCGGTATTGATACTTATCAATATCGAAAAAATTTGAAGAAAATATCGATAACAAGACCACGCCCACAAAATGGTTACATAACCTTAATAAATAATTAACTAACTATAGGAGTAACATCTATAAAATTACTAAAATGTATTTTCTTGGAAAGTAGATGAAGTAGCTGAAGTATATGAAGCCAAAGAAGGTTTATATAATGCTTTTCAATAATAATTTTTCTCAGAAATAGTTTTATTTAGCCAATTTAGTACTAGTAATATTATAGTTAATGGGTGTGGCTTAATAACTTATCGATAAAAAATATCGATATCCTCATTTTTAGGCAATATCGTATCATATTGTATCGTTTCAAAATTTTCAATATCGCCCAGCACTATTGACTATATTATGTATGGCAGACAATAACCAGCTCACTAATACACGCAGTAAGGAATGTGATACTGAAGAAGCTATTATGAAAGAATTGACACCAAAACCTGGCACGAGGAGCAATTTGTGGAAGTATTTTGGGCTTAACCCAGACTCACATGGGAACATGGCACGGAACAGTCATGATGTGTACTGTAAAACCTGTCGAAGAAAGGTACAGGCAGAGAACAGAATTACTTCTAACCAGAAAGCTCATCTAAAGAACAACCACAGGCAACACAGCACATTCCCAGTTACAGCAGATAAAAGAAGCCATCATCTCATCTTCCAGCCCGCCCGTCTCGTCTGCCTCAACAGAACCAACAATCTGCCACCAACCAAATATAACTTCCTCAATTACCTGGAGTCAACCATACAGTTGTGGAAGTAAGAGGCACAAAGAAATAGACGCAGCTGATGCTTTTTTATCTGTAAAGATGGTTTACTTATATATTCTGTTGAAAAAAACAGGATTTAAGTCGCTAATGAAGGTAATGGACAGTATATATGAGCTTCCTAGTCGACCACATTTTTCAAGATCTATATTCCTGATTTGTCTGCTACCACAAAGAGGGTAGTAGCCAAGAAAATTGCTTGTGCTTCGTTTTTTGCTGCCACAATGTTGTCTAGCATAGGTTTAACTCCTTACATGAGCTTCACATTGCACTTTATTGACAAGGATTGAAACTCAACTCATTGGCACTTGCAGCTCAATTTCTGCCTGAAGATCACATGGCAATATCCTGGTGGATGCCCTACTAGAAACAATGAGTGAGTGGAGCTTGACAGCAGACAGTCTTGTGTGCCTAACAACAGATAGTGGTAGCAATATAGTTGCAGCTGCCAGAAAGCTAGGGTGGACTTGGTTATCTTGTTTTGGCCATAACTTGGATCTGGCCATTACAAAAGCTGTTTCTAAGGATAAGAGATGCGACAGAGCTCTAGCATTTGCCAGAAGGATTGTCAGTTCTTTTTCATGTAGCTGGAAAAGGAGAAGAAAGCTAACAAGAGCTCAAGCAAACTTAAATATACTACAGCATTCTTTTATCTCAGTAAGTCACATTAATATTACTTGTACATGTATGGTATACTTATGACTAAAATTAATTTTTAATATATTATATGACTGCAAAACCAGATGGGGTTCTATGGTAGAAAAAATGTTAGAGCAAGAGCAGGCTATCAGGGTTGTCTTGAGTGCCAATAAAAAAGCCTCTAATGTCCTCCCAACATGGCAAGATACAGATGTTCTTCTGCTATCAATGATGCTCTTTCACCACTTGCTGAGTTCACTGATGTCATGTCCGGTGAACAATACGTAACCATTTCTGCTGTTTTGCCAATTGTAAATCTCCTCAAAACATCTGACCTAAAGGAAAGCTCAAGTGATAAGGCATTAACAAATGAACTTCGTTTGAATATAATAACTGACCTTTCCAATAGAAACCAAGAGGATGATGTTCTTCACCTATTAGAAGTAGCCTGTTTCCTTGATCCTAGATTTAAGGATAAATTTATTAGCAGTATTGAGCATATAACAGAAATAATGGTTTGTAACGTTGTTTCTCTTTCTTCCTTTTCTGTGTCTCCAACCTTAGCCACTTCATCTTGTGCCATTCACCATCCCAGTAGTTCTGGAGACCTTCCACCTCCAAAAAAACAAAATAGATCACTAGGAAGTTTACTAAAATCAAATGAGACTGAATGTGCCTTATCTAGCACCAGCTGTACACCAGAACAAAATTTCAGAAGTGAAATTGAGACGTACATTACTCTGGATAAGCTTGATGAAGAACAAGATCCTCTCGTTTTGTGGAGAATGCATGAGATGGCATTTCCTCTTCTGGGTAATATAGCCAAGAAGTATTTATGTGCTCCTGCAACCAGTACTTTTTCAGAGAGGGTTTTTAGCAAGGGAGGATGTCTTGTAACACCCTTCAAAGCTTCACTTTAGCCAGATGCAGTTAAAATGTTAATTTTTTTATCTATGAACCTGTGACTTTTTCTTGTAATTGAAGGATTACACTTAATTTCATCTTATTTAAAGTTTCTCAATTAAAGTTAAAGGATTTCTCAAATAGTACTATATTTAGTAATATCAAGGTATTAAACAATATAATATTGAGGTATATTTTTCATCAATATTGTAAAGCCTTACATCGAGTAGATTTTACAATGAGACAGATTACACAAGGAAGCATGATGTAGGAAGAACTCACTTTTGGCCTTTGGAGCAAGACGATATGGTATGGTAAAAATTTTAAAATGATGCAATCACATTTTTATGTTTACAAGGAATTGGAAATCTGTTGGGCCTTGAATGTGACATTCTAACAACTTGTGTACCTGTCCTCAGTGATATAGCGAAAACAATTGTACTTCCAGAAGTGAGTAAAACAACCAAGGTAGATAACAGGACAGTGATTGTCATTAAACTTCTATTTCTAGATCTTGACGAAATTAATAGAAAAGAAATTTAACATTACTTATGCAGAAGCAATAATGTTATTAGTCTTGTCACCCACCCCTTCACTTTAGGAGGAGGGGTCTGTAGACACTCAAAGCTTTTCTTGGACACAATAGAATGTAATTAGTGCAGCTTGATCATTTGACCAGATGCACATAAGTGTTTATTTCACATGACATACACGCCTCCAGAACACGGCTACCAAAAGTATTAAGAAACAACTCATTTCAGATCTGTTTTTATCATTAATTTGTTTTGTTTTTCTTCATTCTTGAAATTATTAAATGCATTTTCTTATCAGATCAAAACAGCATGTTTACTAATGCAAAATTGAATAAAATTGTATAATTACATAATGATAGTAATAAGAATGCTCCGTGGCTGTTACAAGCATCACTTGCAGATGAAGTAGAAGTACTTTTCCAAGATCCATAGAAGTATGTACTCCTATATCACTGCACATAACTATTAGATAACAGTTATAAGTGAACTGACCATTTCTTAACTTGTTGCTCATCAAGAGGCAAACTCACTAGCTTTAGTCATTGACCAGGAGACAAAGAAAGGCTTTTTCTGTTCCAGAACTGATTTTCCAGAGAACATCACAGTACTAAGCCACAGCCATGATTGACATTTGTCTGCCACTGAATCCTGTCAGGGGTGTGGCTAAAAACGGGACTGGGATCGGGACAGGGAAACAGAGGGTTAAAGCAGGATGGGGACAGAGAAAAACAATGTAAAACCAGGACAGAAACGGGGGAAATGGAGGATATAACCGGGACAGGGACGGGGAAATACAGGGTAAAAACAGGACTGGGAATTACTAAAATTATCATTCTTTCTCCCCAGAAATTCTCTCTTTCCCTCTGGCTCTTACATCAAATTATAGTCCGTAACATTTATGTCCACTGTTTAATATTTCATTTAACTTTGCTATTATTATTTAATATCAAAAAATTTACTAGTAACAAGTGATAGGGTAGAATTTGACTGACATCATAGAACTAATGCACATTTGGAACTTTACATGCCATAACTAGTAGGACTAAGCTAATTAGGCAAGTAAACTATTAAAACACGAATTCAAAGTTATCATTGTTTAGCAACAATAAAGTAATATGCATAAGAACCACATTTAGAACTCAAGTGACAATTTTTCAGAATTTGTAGCCTGTTCCTTTGTTGAGCCCAGTCCATCATAGAACATTTCTTTACCATGCCAAAATACAACAGCAATGTAGTGATTACCTGAGTGCAGCAAAAAACCTCCTAATCTATACAGTTGTCCAAATATCACATTACTCCTTGGAAGCTGTTTACACTCTAGACCTGACAACTAAGAAATATTGAATGAAACCATCCAGTGTCTTATCAGTGAAGCAAAAAGCCTTTGTAATAGGTGTTCCAGCACACTCAAAATATTCCGTTATAGGCTTATCTTCATCTGACTCAATATTGTTGCATTCATTTAATCTATAAATTGCATCTATAGGGGGATCGTTACGATCACTGAACTAAGCACAACAGACTCCACATACTTCTCCTATCTCTACAAACTGCTCTCTGCCTTGCTCATTGAAGCGATTTGCTGAATTGAAACTGTAATGGCAGTAACTTATCTCTTCTACTTTCCCATTGCGTGGGCATGATCATGCACTGCATTTCTTTCTTAAGTTAATTCTCCAAACAAGTCACAATAGGTATAAAATTTTGTCAAACTCATGGCCATAGCAGTCAAAATTGTCATTACCTGAAGTTGTTACAGCCGACTATGCATGTTGGTACTTTTCCTTCCTCCATACGTCCATTGATCATAAGTTGAATTGCAGATTTCAAAACTTTTTCGTAAGTACTGGAATGACAGAAATGCTTCATTTTGACGACAGTGTAATGTAAGAATAGACAAAGAATTGTCACATGTACAGGTATTTGTGTAATCTTTCACAGGCCATGTAACAGTATCTAAATTTACCTTTTCTTTCACATATGGAGCAGATCGAATAAATGATTTTGAGCTCTTTTTGACATTTCGATGTTCAGAATTTCTAAAAACAGAGGAATGTCCCAAATAATGGAGAAGGTAGTATGGGCCTACACCCAGTACTTGTTTCGTCAAAATTGATGATCACCTTTCTTTTCCTCTGATTTTACGTCAACAACTGCACTCTTATATATCCATGGAAGTTTCTGTTGCTTTAAAGGGCATGGAACTTGCGAACCCATCTGTACTGATTACATCTAAAAATAATATCAATTACTTGTTATTAATACTTACCATTATTGTTATACAATAAAACAGACAATGAATAAAAAAATAACCTACCCTCATAATATCAAAATTAATAATTATTATCATAGTCATCATGATTAGTAAATTTGTTAATATAAAATTTTATGGCATGTTTGATATGTAAAATTAGAAGGTTTTCAACAATTTTCAACTTGGCACCTTATTTTTTTTTCTTTAAATCCCATTCAGATTCATTTATTCCCAAGTCATACAATAATATGGTCCTCCATTAGGCTGAACAGGTGGTAATGGCTCACTGCACAAATTTTAATATTTGGAAGCATTACTCAGGTAATCGTGAATTTCATAGAGACTTAATGTTTCTTTTACTTGTACCATCATTGGTTGAATAATATCACTGGCATCGGAAACTGAGTCACATGTACTATTGTCAATATCATCTTTGGTGTCATTATTTGAGCCATTTCTTGTGTTATGACAGTAAAAATCAACAAAACTGCTGCCTGGAGACTCATCCATTCTGTTGATGACAATACATGTGTATTCACGTGCATCAATATAATGCACGTGTACTGTCCTGTCCCAGTCCTGTTTTTACCCGGTAATTCCTTGTCACTGTCCTAGTTATATCCTCCATTTCCCCCGTCCCTGTCCCGCTTTTACATTGTTTTCCTCTGTTTTCCAGTCCCAGTCCCATTTTTACCCTCCCCCTTCTGTCAGCAGGTATCCTTATCATCAATAACAGACTTGTGACCCACATTTCTGTTCCTTTTTGACTTCCTTTTGAACCTCTGACTCTGTAACAACTCATTACGCTCCTTCAAGACTAATTTATCTTCTAGAGGCTATTTTATTCAAATTGTATTATTTGATATTAAGAAGTCAGCAGTTGTACCTTGCACATGTTTGGAGCCCTCTGAGGGCAAGCCTGAAATGAGGATCAGGCTGAAATGCGGATGGGTGGGGATCAATGCAGAAACGCTCACGGATCTGTACTGAAACTAAGGATCTGTCTGCAAGAATGATATCTCTGCATCAGGAGCGGATTTCTATCAAATCTATGAGTCTTTGATAAAAACTTAATCATTTTGCTGTTTTTTTACAGGTATAGCCTGCTCCCTATGTCGATAATATTATTTTTGCCTATGATTTAATACTATTAATACATGCAGTTAGATCCATAAGCTGATAAGACTATAAAACATGTTGGGGTTGCAGTTTCTGGTTGCAATTTCTTCTTCCAATAAAATGTATCTGAAAAAGAAACTGCAGCTAACGTGCAGTATCCACTTGAGCTGGCTATAACTTTTTCTAAGAAGATTTATGCGTGAATGTGATCCAGAATATGTTACAGTGGATCCTTTACTACTGAAGTAATAAATTTTTAAGTTGGTCAGTACCAAGAGTTGTTTGTACTGACACAGTCATATTATATCTGTAACACAGTAGCAAACTGCTGATGACAGTACAGTGGCGTAGGAAGTGGGGGGTCAGGGGGGGCAGGAGCCCCCCTTAATTTTGAATTCACCTTTATTAACTCCGTCTATTAATTAATTTATTAATAATAACTTCATTTTAGCCCCCCCTTCTCCAAAATCTTTCTACGCTTCTGCAGTATGAATTGAAAATTTTAAACTTTGATTCAATAGCAATAACAGAAGAATTTTTTGGCCTTTTTGTCACTACCAGAGTTGATGGTATGACCGTCTTTATTGCAACACATTATTGCCCTGAATTTTTATGTAGGTACACAAGTTATAGTGCAGACTATGAAATGCTTTCCACTTGTGAAAATGAATCATCACAGAATGAATACAATGATCTTATTGCATAATGATTTTATAATTGGCATTAATCAAAAAGAATCTGGCATATTATCAGCAGATGAACAGTTTGTGAAAGCTTCTTACCCACCTATCATGTAATAACCAAGATTTTAGGGTAGTTTTATGGCATTATAGAATTTGCTCTATTGCAGTTAAAAATTTTTTGATGTTATTAAATGTCATGAAGCTTCAAGTTTGTTCAAACATACATTTCCATTAACAGTATCAATTCATTACAACTAGTGATATGGGTCCCTTATCAAGTGAATTTTCATAAGTTATTTCAGCAAAAGAAAGGGCATAAGCATATATGAATGATGTAGTTGTAAGCCCATTGATGCAGTGCCATTACTTTGTATTCTTTTCATTATCCCAAATTCACAATACACGCAGTCATGACAAATATTTATGTACCTAGAGGAAATAGCAACTTTACACTGCATTTAAGGATGGGGATAGGAGGAAACTGATCAACTGCAGTCAAATTGCTTTGGCCATAGGTATCTTGTATTTGTTCTACAAGCATCTCAACTTACAATCTTTAATTATTACAGGCAATGGTTATACGTTTACATAACTTTTTAGGAATTGCTCAAGAAGATGCTGCATTATTTTTATATTTTTATAAAAAAGAAATTGCAACAATTATATCAGCTTATAGATCTATCAGTGATTAAACAATATAGTAAATGTAATGAACAAAAGCAATACTATCAACATAGGGAGCAAACTTTACCTGTAAAGAAACAGCAAAATGATTAAGTTTTTATCAAAGACTCAAATAGATTTGATAGAAATCTGCTCCTGATGCATAGATATTATTCTGGCAGACAGATCCTTAAAGTTTCAGTACAGATCCATGGGCGTTTCCGTGTTGATCCGCACACATCTGCATTTTGGCCTGATCTGCATTTGATCCGTGCAAATTTGCATTTCAGGCCTATGGAGGGCCGTTTGTTTCAAAATTACCAATAATAATAATACAGTAGAGAAGCTCGAAAAATACGGATTTGTGTTTAATGATCGATCGATTGGTTGATTTATCAATCGATTGATAGATTAATCATATCTTTGATTGATCAAAATGCCATCCATTAATTAACCCTTACAGAAAGTGTAGCAGCCATAATTCAGCCCCACCTTTCTAGTTGTGGTAAATCTAGATTTATGGCTCAGTATCTTCTTTATTTATGACTTTTACAACAGTTGTTATCAATTTTTCTACAAATTTTGCAACTATGATTTTAGAAATTTTTAAGTTGCCCAAAATAAAGAATGATTGAGATATTGAGCCCAAGTGCATGATTTAACACCCACTCTGTTGTCGTACATCAGTATCTTTTAGGCTAAAACTCAGGGTTTCTACATCAAAATTCCCTAATTTTGGCATTTTCCAACTGTAATAAACTAAACTTAATGGTTAACAAGAATAACAGGTAACTGTATGCTGAAAAATTTTTTGTTAATATTTTGGCTATTTTAGATGTTTCTTCCCTTTAAACTAGCAATACCTTTACTGGGCTCTAAGCAAAGAATTCACAAGTTTCATACCAAATTGTTAAATTTGACACATCTATTGAACATTACTGTAATTTGTGTTAATCATTTAAGTAATTAAAATAAACAAAAGCGTGCCCTTTTTATTAGTTATAAATTTTTTTTTTAATTTTCTTTTTATTTGCCAAAAACTGCTTTATATAAGCTTTTATCAATATTAAACTTTATTGTAGTGAACTTCACAAAAATCCAAGTTTTATTTGGTGTTTAACTCAGCAGATAATTTGCCAAGTTTCCTAGCTTTTGGCAAAATAAGCCAAAATTACTTTCTAAAAAATTAAGTAATGAAAATGCAAGACTTTTGCAGTTTCAATTACTTAAAGAATTAACACAAATGAAGGTTATATTTTGTAAGAATTGCTTTATGAATGTGCTAAAAATGTATGAGATACTGAGCTAAAAGCATGATTTCAACACCCATGCAATGGGTAGTGAAGGGTTTTAAGCAGCTAAAACTCCTGGAGTTTTGGCCAAAATTCAGTAATTATCCCATAAATGACTTTATACTGTCACACAGTAATGTTTGAATAGATGTGAGTCAAATAACAATTTGGTATCAAACTTGTGAATTCCTTGCTTTGAGCCCAGTAAAAGGTATTGCTGGTTTAGAGGGAACAAACACCTAAAATAGCCAAAATATTAACAAAAAATTTTTCAGCACCCAATTACCTTTCATTCTTGTTAACCATTACCTTTAGTTTATTATAGTTGAAGAATGCCAAAATTAGTGAATTTTGATGTAAAAACCCTGAGTTTTGGCCTGAATAGTACTGATGTATGACCACAGAGTGGGCATTAGCTAAATCTTGCACTTGGGCTCAATACTTCAATCATTCTTCATTTGGGCAACTTAAAATTTTCTAAAATCATTGTTGCAAATTTTATAAACAAATTGATAAAAACTGTAGTTTAAAAGTCATAAATAGTGAGAATACTGAGTCATAAATCTAGATTTACAAAAATTAGAGAGGCGGGGCTGAATTATGGCTGCTATGCCTACTGTAAGGATTAATTAATGGATGGCATATCGATCGATCAATAGATACGATCAATCAATTCATTGCTCGATCGATCATAGACCACAAATCCGTATTCTTTAAGCTTCTCTACAGTATTATTATTATTATTGCTAATTTTGAAACAAACAGCTTGCCATACAGGCGGCCCCATTCTGGGGGTCCTCACTATTTTACTGGACGGGATAAAAGCGGATGAGCTGCGGCAAGGGACGGAAAACACTATGGGACAGAATGAGGTGCCAAAATTATTCAAATAGACGGCACTACAGAATGCTCATTGTCTTTGTGATGGTAATTGGCCTCACCTACACAAGGTATAGGTGTTGTGTGTCTGTCATTCATGCATTCTGTACAAGCAAATTTTGTCTTTGATAAACTATAACTTTAAAGAGCATGTGTTCTAAGCTCCTAGATCTTTCTTTCTTGCCTGGAAGTCTTGCTTAACTGTTTTGTTTTGCTCAAATATCAGCACTAGGTACAAGAAGCTTCAAAGTGAGTATTTAAGTCAAGTTCCATTGTGTTGGCACTCTTAGACGAGCTGGTAGCATTTCCAGTAGATTAGAACATGGCCTTCAAAACATTTTAACAGATTTCTCTCAAACTTACTTGGTGAAGAGTTACAATTGTCCTGGTTCTTGTTTCTGAAGCACTGGAGCAACAACCTAGTGGGCTATAGGTACTAAAGTACCTAAACTACCTCAAATACATAAAGGCAACAACTTTCTGCCAGCAAGTTTATCGTATATTGCTGATTAGTAAAGAAAAAGTTAAGCTTTTTCTCACGTGGTCTTCTTGCTGCCATCATTGCAGTTGATGATGTTATGCCACACCTTTCAATCTCCATGCATGGGAGGGGCTGGAGCTTCTTGCATGTATGCGCTGCGGTGCTGCTACTTCTGCAGGTGTTCAAGAGCAAGTGCATGCAACTGCAGCAAGCTAATGTTGAGCAGACTCTCCTCATGCTGATAATCAAACAGCTATTGCAGTGCGGGCATGCACCATAACAGCTATTGGTGCGAGGCCATGCACCGTAGGTGTCTCGTTTTATTATGCATAAGACTGTTGTTGCTCTGATACAACATATTGGTACATAAAGTTTCTTTTACAAGGGCAGCTGGCATATTTTTAAGATACTGACAGAACTCAGTGGTACCTGAGTGTGGACAGCATAAACTGGACTGACGATAATGGAAGAAAAAATGATAATGAATGAATACTAGTTATTCTACCTAATGAAAAGCAAGAAAACTGAACCTGAGTCTCAGACACACACAAATTACTATTGATGGATCCTCTTCATCATCATAGTGTAACAAGGCCTTTATCTTGCTACTTAATTCGTGGAGTTAGACCTTCAACACTACATTCGATTTATTATGTTTGTTACTGTATGTTGTTAAGTTAATTATCCTATAGAAGTCATAGAGATCAAAGGCACCGTGCAAAGATTATATAGCATACACTGATAAAACCAACCACTTCCTGTGCAATATCTATATCCCCTAGGGATTATCTATATTCCCTAAGGAGTACATATATTGGACTGCATGCACCCATA